TAGATCATATATAACTATATGTGAATATAAATTATAAACTAGTCTAGCTGTCTACTTCTTGGAGACTAGAATCATTGGGGTACCCACCACCACTTTTGCGTGAGGCAGTTGTCTCTTAAATTAGCTATTTACGCAGCCACTGCCATAATGGGCTATCAACTACAATATTGAGGGTTCGAATTCCAGTCGGGTAAACCAGCTCTTCAATTTTTTGTTTTTGAAAAAGAAGAAGTTTCACTTCATTCGTACACTCAAAGTCGCAACAAGTACATTTTTTGTTATTTGACAAAGTTTCTAATACCTATTTGGAAGTTGCAATCACTATTTGTCAGCCAAGTATTATGGTCCTGCAGGTACTTTAATACATCATTATGAAAAATACACAATATTATAGTTTTTTACAAATTCGATGTATATAGGTGCAAAACAAATACTTCAATTCAACAAAAAAATGTTTGAAATGTAAATAATATGTTTAGATAAAGAGTATAAATGAATATAGTTAATACAGTATCATACACTGGGAGTAGGATAAAAATTCCGAAGAAAACAGTACACGGAAAAAAAGTCAGACCAGAAAATTATTATACTGAAATAAAGTCCGGTTTGATTTTTTGTTTCATAATAAAATTTCTTGATTTATTAATAAATATAAATATAATTTAAAATTGATAATACTGTAAAATAATTTGTTATTGATAATATAAAATATTATTGGTATAAGAATAATGTAAAGCTAATATTTATTTTGCTTTCAAATACAATGGCCAAAAAATTCTTCCACCGATTTTAGTTAATGGCCACTCTAGAATATAAGTTTTTTAAACGTTCATCAGTGATATCAAACTTCCGTTTTTTTGATGCCAAAATCCCTTTACGGCCTTGTTTTCACCTAATTCTTGCAACGCTTTTTTAATTCTATCTAGTCCTAAGTCCTAACTCTTCACGCATTTTAGAAATTAACTTCCAGACCGTTGGGTGCGCTTGTCCGACAAGATGCGTAAAACGGTATTTTCAACACTCAAATAATGGTCAAATATTGTTTGTTCGATGTTGACTGTTTATCGTAGCCTCTTGAACGTTCCATATTTCTAATGGAAGTATTTTTTTTTAAATTTTATATTCATAACTTTTCCTAAATTTCTAAATGTACCATTATAACTTATGTAGAATCGAAATAATCAAGAATCTCTGTAGCTTCTTCTGTACAAACCGTCTTTAAATATTACATTCCGTCGTATACTTAATTAATTGGTAAAAATGTTAACCCATCAAACATAGCGAAAAAATGACTTAATGTATCATCAGTTTTATATTTGGCTTATAATCCAACTTCCATTTCGATTCGAACAACTGCAATTGCACTCAAGTATGGACAACGACTGGATTTTTATCGTTATCGTAACATCAATTTTATGTATAATATGCATATGTTGGATATTTCATATTTTATCTTATAATACAGATTAATTGTGCTATCATTATTTCATTACCTTCTATAATACATATACATGTTATTTTTCTATCTATACCTTACTTAACCTAACCTACCTTCTATTACTGTAGATTGTATAACAACAAATCAAACCGAACTTTTTTTCTGTACAATCATTTTGTGGTCGGACTTTTTTTCCGGGATTCCCATACATTGTGTATATGTGTGTAATATGACTCATGATATGTTATGTTAGAATTATATTATTCGACCATCATCGACTTCAAAGTTTTGTTTACAAAAGGTTAAGTGTAAAAAACCAGTAAAACTTAAACTATATCCCCTTCATTGAGTGACACCAGGGCCTTAGTTTGAGTAGTTTGACTATAGTCTATAGTTGCGCACTGGTGATACTGCTGAGATTGGTATTATAATATTATAATGTATTATCGAACTACCTAATACTTAAACAACGAACAGGTAGTGTCCAATAATGACTAGTGACTAGTGATTAGTGAGTGGTGAGTGATGTATTGCTAAAATAAAATCTTGGCCGTGGGTATATATTACCATATAATATTTATTATTATAGAACATAGATTATATAGCCATATAGGTAGACCCTTTTCACGTAATAAGCATGTGACATTGTGACAATGGTAAAACAAAAATCATATCAGTCAAGACAAAAAATGTATGGCTTCCTTAAAAATTATAATATTTTATTCGGCTGTATGACATAAGCGCCAAAGGTACAAAAATGGCCTATAATTTGCGCCAAAATCTGTAGGACATAAGCGCCAATATAATATTGTATACCTGCTATACCCAACATATGATATAAGCGCCAAAGGTACAAAAATGACCTATCATTTGCGACAAACAGATAGTTATTTAAAAATGTCTATATCTTATAAAAATTATATTATATTAATATTATTATGTTGATAGTAAATTATAATATAGGTAGGTAATAGGTACATGCACATCAATATTATTTAATACATTTAATGAATTGGTTGATTTTTTAATCCCACTTTTCAATAATTTATTTATTTTTCTAATCAATAGTTCTAAATTTAATATCTGTTATTTAATTTCTGGCGCTTTTGTACGATACGACTTTTTTTTTCTTATCTTATTTTGGCGCTTATGTCTTCCCCCGTTTTATTCAAGTCCTAATTATCAACAATGCAAATTAAATACAAGTATAGTTTATAGTTTTATACTTGAAGGTGGTCGTTTTTGGACATTTTTTGAAATAAGTATGTACTTTCCTAAAAAAAAAATCATGAGAGTTATACGTTTTAGACATGCATTTTTTAATTTTCAAAAATTATTTTTGGTAGGAGTATTATAACAAATATTATTATAAAAAAATAATTTTAAATAGATAAAAATAATTATTTAGTAATTATTGTGGTTATGGATTCTTATCTTAGAGTTAGTTGAAATTTAAAAGAATAAAAATATAATTGTTTTGGCCCGCTGATTTCTATGTGACTTGGAGGTACAGTTACTCATTAGTCAGTCATACATTATGCTCGCTGGTCGTAGCTGGTATGGACGTATGGTACTTAAATATACCGTTAAGCATTTAACACATTTACTTTTTATATAAGATGTGTACAAAACAAAAAATGATTAACAAAAAAAATCTTTAAAATTTAAATTATGTAACAAATAATATTACTATAATTAGAAATTAGATATTTTTTTGATTTTAAAACATTTATGTATATGAATTTGATTATTTTATTGATATCATGCTAATATTCATGAGAATCGATAATATATTGAACCTGAATTTTATTCACAAGGATAGGTAAGGGTAAAATTGTATAAACTTAAATTATAGGGTCCTTCATTAAAAGGCCCTATAGTTATCTATAGTTGTGCCACTGGTAATACGGTATATAGGTTAAATTAATTTTCGCCAAAATAATTGCATTTATTATTTTATTATTTATTAGCTATTATATAATACTATACCTATATATATAGGCTATATTATATTTATATTTTGAATGTTATATTATTGTTATTAACTTTTGAGTCAATTGGTACCGGCTTACAGCGGTAGAACAGCGTGTGGGCCGTGGTATTAAATATAAATATTAAATAGGCATTCAGATTCGATATAGCTTAAAATGAATCTAAATAATTTGAAAATGGCATTGAGAGTATTATAAAATATAATAAAAAAGTTAATTTTAATATTTTAGAATATTACAACAAAATTACTAAGACCGTTATTCTTTGTTTAAACATTTAGTTCGTCAATATTTTAAATTCAAATGCTACAAAAAAAATTCTTAGGTGATCAATATTCTTTAGATTTTTTAATAAAATTAAAGTAAAGTATTTATGAAGAACCTTCGATAAAATGTTTTAACCAAATATATTAAAATTGAACATTTTGTAAACTTTTAACTAGATGTATAATATACCTAATTGACAATTTTGTCAAAAATGTAACATCGAACTTTATTTACATGATAAAGCAACAAAAATGTTTAAAATATTTATGCTGGGTTTGATTATGTGAAAGTCTGATCTTTACCTATTTAAATATAAGCTTAAATAAATAAAAGTCAACTCAATCCATTATGGTATACCGAACGCGTTTTAAAATTTAAACAAAGCTCTATATTAAAATAGAATCAATGATTTACAAATACATCCTGCGACGAATAATCCAAAAAAAAATCCGAAAATCCATACAACGATGAATGTTATATTAAAATAAATAAGTTATAAAATTAAACATGGTACCAATATAGTTTCGTTTCGTTGAACTCTCATGTGTTTTTTATTTTAGTCTTCGAGAATCTCCTTGGCCGTCACCGCCGCACCGCGTGGGGGCCCGTATGACGTGGTAAAAGCCTGGCGGTCACCAATATTATTATTATTGTCACAGAGCCGGTCTTTCTCTCTCTTTAAACTCGTATTCGTAAGCTTTCACCGACGAATTCGTTAAAAAATAATTTTAATGAATATCAATTATCATCAAATAAATGTAAAATTTAGTTTGTAGGCAAAAGCTTATCTTTGAAATTATACACTGAAGACTAAACCGATTTCAATAAAATGTTTATTTTAAAATAATTTAATTAAAAAAATATATTTTTTAACTTTTTTACCAAAACATTAAAAAAATTTAAAACATGAACTATTTGCAGTGCTTGTCCCTGTGAGTCTTAATAAATACCAGAATTATGATATCTCCATTATTTCAGGAGATATCGCAATGAGTAAATCCTCCAGTACACCCTGTATACATATAGTAGATTTTTTGTTTTGTAAACGTTTTAACTCCAAAACTAACTTGACTAAATTCGTCAAAATAAAGTATAAGCTGACTATTATTTTATAGTTAAAAATGTCTCATATATTTTTTCTTAGACCAATCTCAACATTTAAAAAATACAAATGCATATTTTTTATACACAATAATTCAATAATTAAATACAATTTATTCGGTTAATTAATTAATAAGGCTTGTTTGGCTTACTTTATTAAGTGTTAATCGTGATTTTTTTATTACTTAATTAATTTTAAATATTATCTATAATAGCATCTTACTGCTTCTGTAACTATACTAACTTTATTTGTATGTATATACATATATATATATATATATATGGGTGGGGGTTGTCTGACCGAAAATCTAGTGGCCGAAAGTCTAGTGATCGAAAAAAAGTGACCGAAAAGGTATCTGGTCGAACACTTTCTTGATCGAAAAATATAATATCGAAAATGCAAATGATCGAAATGTTATGTAATCGAAATTTGTCATGGTCGAAAAATATATATTTTGTGTTAATTATTTTAAAAAAAAAAACATAAATTATAATATAAAATTAATTTAAGTAGGTAGTATAACGTAGAAAAAATTTGTTATAAAATATAACTTATAAGTATTAGTATAAATATTATAATATAATGAGTAATTAAAACTTTAAATTTTGAGCTATTCCTCTTAAATACTCTAATAAATCATAACCCGGATCAGCTAATAGTCTTTGTTGCACTTCTTTTAAGCGTATATTGTGCGATTGTACTTGAATTTTCATTTTTTTATTACTACGTCCATAAAGTAACATCTCAATTACTGATTCAGTTTCGTTCTGAGTAGATTGTAAGGTTTTGATTAATTTATGCAGTCCTACGACAAATAATAATAAAATTAATAATATAATTAGTGATAAATAATAATGTCGATTTCAGACAAACCTGGATGTGGCGATATTAATCTATTTAATTTTCTATGCCAGGATTCTGCCGTATTTGTCGTCCTGGGCAATCCTGATGATAACCTTTCAGCTACAGACCATAATTCTGGAGGGAAAAGTGGAGGTGTGTAAACTGATTCTCTTCTTGGTCTTCCTCTTGTTTTCATAACTTGTTTACCCATTATGTATGAATGTTCAAAATACTTTAATACTCTTTACTTCGACCAAAAAACCCATTCGACCACAAAATATTTCGACTATATTAATAAAATATTCGATCATCTGTTTTTCGACCAAAAAAAGATTCGATCACATGACATTTCGATCGCTTTTTTTCGATCACTAAACCTTCGACCAAATGGCCTTCGACCAAATGACTCGCACCGATATATATATATATATATATATATATAAATGTAAATAGTAATTTAATTTAAGTTCGGTGAATAAATTGTTTTATGAAAATTCTAAAAAAAAGTAGGTGTAGGTATGTACCTACCAACTAACCTACCTAGTGGCTCATATTCATATAGATATTATAAATTATAATTAACTATATCAATATTCAATATAATTGCACAAAGTATATAATAAAACCTGATAAAAACGTATATAGATTATGTTTATACATATATTTATTTTCGTTTTTATTGCATTTCAGGCAGGTTAGGTTCCTCATAGTGTAGGTTAGGCATAGGTACCTGCCTAAATAAGACGGGCAAAGCTCAAGAGCACAGATTAAACATAAAATAATGTTTAAGATAAGCATGTAATACATAGGTATAAATGTATAATTTAATGTTTTAATTGAAATTACGGACTCATAGATTAATTGCAATGAGGTATAGGTAGGTTGTACTTACTTACTATATTATACCTTCTGGCTACTTTATTCATCTATTTAATTTCTTATTCTTTTACTTACTGTTGAGATTTCAGGTCGAATTATTAAGCTTTTAAATTGAGTGAAGTGATGATATTGAATGTAATATAATTATATAGGTATTCATATAATAGGTATACCTATAACGTATATATACGGCTATACATATTTATGTATAATATTATCTAAAAATAAACGTTATTAAAAAAGTCAAGTAAAGTTAAGCTGTATATAGGTACTTAGATAAGGCATACTTTTAGTACCTACTTGCTTATTGTTTGGACTAGTTTATAGAGATTAGAGACCAATACTTACGTATTAAATCGTTCAATTAACCTGTCTATTTTATGACTAACTAGTAACTCAATATAGCCAATATAGGTAGTCTTACGTTTAACTTGTTTTCGTAATAGGCTATAGATCTTTTAAAGTTCCTCATTAGTCATCACTCATTACCTACCAACAATCAATGAAAAAGATTTCAAATTGTTTTTAATTGGGTACAAAAAATGCACTTAAAACCTAGTATAGAATTATAAAACGAACATTATTTTATAAACTTATAGCTATTTAGGTATCACAGAATAATGTGATTGTACCATTGAGTTTTCCAAAATATGTAGGTATCCCAATAACGGCTATAACTACCCAAGTCGAGTTCTAGTCACAGACTAATATTTAACACTATCTAATTGCATCTCATCTAGGTATAATAATATGATACCTATTACCTACCCACAACCCACATATTTTGGAAGACTATGTTTTTCCACAATGTATTTTATAGATTTTTATACTATAGGGAACTAAATTTTAACTTGTTTATTGTCTAACTGTCGTCTGCAGTCGAAAGAGGAAGGTATACTTATCACTATTATAAGGTATAATACTATAATTCAATAATTATATAACTATCAAGTATCAACTAAATATCATATATGTATGACTACTGATCAACTATGATATTGTTCGTAGACTTATGTAGTAGATGTTAATACTATTTTTTTGACTACCCAACCTATCACACTGCCATAAACAAAGTACCTACCTAAACATTATACATTAATATTAAAAAATTCATAAATTGTTCTCAAACAGAAAATTAAAATAATGTACTATTGTCTGATAAACAAAATTAAGTAAAAATATTACAATTATTTAAATTTTAAAGAATTAATCTTTTTTTGGTGCCTACCTAAATGAAAAAAACTTCAGATGGGGGCTACAAGTCACATCTGTACGCGCACGCGCCTATGCTACCATTATAGATATTTAGAGACTTTAATAGGCTGCAGGACTGTCAGGACTATAATATGATCCTAAAAATCAGTATTCCTTCATTGTCTATGCCTACTCTACAACAGTTTGTCTTTGATTATACTTAATATAATAGTATGGTAGGCATTGAACACTTAGTCAATGGTATAAGTATACTTATCCAGTAATACATAATATGAATAAAGATAGATGTATAGTTTACAATAAAGGTATATACTTTTTAAAATTTTTTTTATTTATTCTTTAAGAATATAATGGGCCACACCGAACATGTTCGTACCTATATAAATGTATTAAGTTATTAATCGGTAATAACTAATAAGTAATAATTATTATTAATAGTTTCATCAGAATTAAATAATTATTGTCTAATGGCTAGTCATTATGGTCTGTTGTAATATGGATTAAAAATAACATTTTTAGTTGTAGACATAAAAGGTAGGTAGGTAGGTATATATTATAGGTATTCCCATATTTTAGACACATAGGCACAATGCACATAGCAGGTATTGCATAGTTTACCTAGTACCTATTATATACTATATTATACATAATTATTTATTGAATAATCTTTGGAAGGTAAACATCTTTATTATTATGATAGAATTAAATATTTCCAAATTAGACAAATGAAATACCTAAATCACGATAAATTTAAAAGACACCTAAATATTTAAAATTTCATTCCCGCTTTTTTACTCGAGAAAATAAATAAGACACAATACTCTAATTCTCAATTTTGGCGGTTAACATTATCTACTCTTTAAGGTTATTATATAATTACTGATATTAGTGGAGTCAGTGATTATAAAATCACGTTTTGTGGTCCATTTATCAACAATCAAATATTATCATGTTCGATATTTCCTCTTCCATTATTGATCAATAGGTATTATTTGATAGATTATTCATTATTATTATCCATACTGACCACTATTAAAATATTAAATGCTGTGGTCCTCAATCGTAAAGAGTAATTCATAATCGATTTTATATTACATTCTACTTGCGAGTATGTGACTATGCCAGTCTAAGTCTCTGATAACTAATAAGTAATAACTAATAATTACTAACTATATTGCATAATTCATTGTTATTAGATACTCCCACGGCAGTACAGTACTACTACTGACGTACTTTTTGCTTTTCGTGCAATATTCGTTTTATTCATTTTTTCCACGTGGTTTTACGCGGTTTCGCTTTAAGTACTCAGGTAGTTTTAAACCAGTGATTCATATAATAATATTTTATATGACACTGTAATATATTTATGGAAAACATCAGTTTATTTTTCATCAATTTAACAGAAGCTATTTATTTTTATAGATATTGTAATGGCTAATGTACTTGTGGTTGGTGGTGGAGGTCGAGAACATGCAATTGCCTGGAAACTAACACTTTCTTCAAAAGTAAGAATGATTTAAATTTAAAATTAAAGTATTAAATTAAGTATATTTAGCTATTATTACCAACAATTTGTTTAAATACTTGGGTGTAGTGTATTAATTTTTGCCTATTAAATATAATTTGAAATGTTTACTTAATAATTAATGTTAAAGAAGAAGTTGAAAATATTTACAATAATTGCATAAAAATGTGATTGACTAAAATGTAACATACTAATCATTGGCTATTAAATCATACATTAGTCACAGCTGATTTTTAATAAATGTTGATGATTGTCATTGCAACTTGGCCTAAATTAGGTATTAAATGTATGCAACTGTATAAGTGTTATATTATTTTAGAAATATTGTAATTTTTAATTAAAATTGTTGGATAAAGCTATTTCTTATTTTCTAAATTACCTATATCAGTTAAGCAATTGATCAGATATATATTTTATTTCTTTTTGAAGTTTATCATGTATAGATACATTAATACCTATGTATCTAAATAATTACATAATTCTGCCAGATCCAACACATTATGCTAAGTATTTATTGTCATTTTCTCAACTAATAAATAATTTAATAAGGTTAAATGTATCATGTTGTAGGCATTAGATAAGTATTTGATAATAATAGTTTTTTAGAACTACCATTCTTACTTGTACTGTAACATCAAAAAACCTAAATTAAGTAAGACAGTTTAAATAAAATCTAATGGGAGGTACTACCTACGTTAATTTTTTTTAAACTTATTTATAAGACTATTTAAACATTATAATACTATTAAATATGTGAAAATAAACTGGTAAATGCCTTACAAATTATGTCAAAAAAGACATTGATTGTGTATTATTTAAATTTTTTATGGTGCCTTTTAATACCTTTAGGTCAGACAGTGAAGTTATAAAAATTGTATACATAGATAAGTGTCTACCTATTAAAACATATTTATATTTATAATATTTTTGAATTTATTATTTTAATACATTTTTCTTTTTATAGGTGAATAAAATTTATATCACGCCAAATAATATTGGAGCCTCAACATTGCCTCAAATTGAATTTGTAGATTTGGATGTCAACAATTTTGAAGTATGAAGATAAAAAATATTGTTATTTATATTTTTTTATAAAAAAAAAATATTAGCTGATAGCCTATTTAACATAGATTAGGAAGTTCATGTTTTAAATTCCTTATTCATTTTCAGTTGCATAATTTGAATATTTTTTTTTGTTATTGCTTAGTTCTTGAACTAAAACTTGCAATTCATTGATTTTTAACAACGAACCAACTTCAAACAAAATTATTTTAATTTCATAAACTTGTGCAGAAACAAACTTGTATTTTTTAATTTCAAACTGAACCAAACCGAACTGTTCAAATTGTGTACCATACCCAAATTGCTATAGACTCAAAAACAAAGAAAACTAAATTTATTAAACATTATATTGATAAAGTTATGATGAAAAATACAAACAAAATGTATATTTACGCTAAAAATTATTATTATTTTTTTTTTAACAAATTCGGTAGTGAGTTGATTTCATTGTTCTGAATATATGTAATTTACAATTTTGTTTTTTGAATAGTTTATAACATTACTAGTTCTATGTTGAATTTTATAATTATTAAAGTAAACAATTCGCAAGTTTATAGAGTCTACATTAAAAATGTTTAAAAGGATGACATACTAACACATGCATTCTATCCGTCTTACAAACACATTACATAGCAAATTGTATGTACTGAATAATTTATTTAATCTTGTTATATTTAATTATAGAGTGAATTAACCATTACCAAATTTAGGTGTAAGAATATTATGTAGTGGTCTTCCACTAACATTAGATTTTTTTTGTATTTTAATTTTATACCTAGTTATGAGCATTTTAAAATTGTAAATTAAACAT